GTAGGGGAGAGGGAGCTGCCAGAATGAGAGGAGGAGAAGAGGAGAGGAGAGGAGGAAATGGAGGAGCAGAAATATTGAGTTGGGGGACAAATAGAGGAGAGCAGGAGGAGAGATACTGTATTAGAGGGAGCCATTATAGGTCCAAGGAGAGATCTGGCACTAGGGAGATTTCCAGAGGCCTACAAGAATGACACATCAAAGGGGTCTGTACCAGGCTGGTGAAACCTACAGAAACGGTTAGCCTGAACAAGGGGGAACATATCGACCCCAGATGCTATCTAGGAAGCCAGTGTAGGACAGATCCAGACCCCTGAACATGGATGTCAATGAGGAGGCCTCTGTACTCTAGGGGGCCCATGGTAGTGGATTAGAATTTTTCCCTGGTGTAGGAAGGGACTTTGAGAGTCCATCCCACATGAAGGGATGCACTCTTGCCCTGGACACATGGGGAAGGGCCCAGGCCCAGCCCAGGATGATGTGGTGGACTTTGCGGAGCCCCTTTGGAAGGCCCTATCCTGCCTGGGGAGTGGAGGGTGGATGTGGTGGGGGGGGGTAGGTTGGGGTGGAGGTAGAAGGGATATGGGGGAGGGGAGGGAGAGGGAGAAGGGATTGACATGTGAAACAAGCTTGTTCCTAATTTGAACTAATAAAAAAAATATTTATTTATTTAGAGACAAGGTCTTGCCATGCAGCCTAGGTTGGCCTGGAACTCAAGCCCCTACTTCCTCTGCTTTCCAAGGGCTAGGATTACAAGTGATTGCCACCATGTCTGACTCTAATGCCATACTATCCTCTACCTGAACAAAATAAAATGTATGCTTAACAGGCTTCTGTGGTTAGACATCCATTGAATACTCACTTGAATCAAATACTGACCACGCTACCAGGGTCAAAGTCTTAGAGCAGCCTAGGGTGCCAAAAACAACAGATGCTCATCAAACGGTCTTTGATCATTCTGAAGGTGATTGTCTTGCAAAAATCAATTAACATATTTTATCTGCCTTGTTATGACTGCAATTTCCTACCCAGCTAAATTAACTCTTAAGACTTTATTTTCTCTACATTACTGTTTTTACTAGCGTAAAAATGCTGGGGCAGGGTGGGCGTTTTGGTTAGCTTTGTTTTTGTTTTGTTTTGTTTACTTTCCAAGCTTTCAATTTTCGTTTATAATATTATTTTGTAAGCAAGAAAAAATTTACTTCTCCTAAGAATGGTCCTTCGCCTTCGAATCCATTCCACTCTAAGATTGTTCTAAAGGCGGAGAGCGCCAGGCATGCCACACTGTTGGGCCATGTCCTCATTCTGGAGCATACTCCCTGGAGGCAGCTGGAGTATGGGTAGAATGGTGGGACCCTGCACGCAATACACTGACCTTCCGCGCAAAATACTACACCAAGCGCCCAGAGGGTGGTGCAGCACCCGCAGTTGGCTCCTACTGAAGCGATAAACCAGTGTGCCCAGTGCACACACACTTCCCAGGCTCTGCCACTGAACTGGGCAACGACCCCGCGTGATCCCCAAAGTGTGCGGTGCTCGGATGAACTGGGGATTCTGAATCTCACACCTGGTGCAACACAGGGACGACCAGCCCCACGGTGCACCGGCCTGGAACAAGGTGACAGACTTTAAACGCCGATCTGGATGCTCAGGATCACCCGGACCCTGCTCGAATCACCACATCCCACCCCTCCAACTCGGAGCGGGGCGAGCTGCCCGTCTCCGGAATAAAGAGCATCCATGAGCTTACTCTGCCCCCAAGAACTGATCTCCTGGTCCTTGCTCCAGCCCCTGTGTGATACCCTTGGCCTCTGCGGCGCGAAGCACGTACCCACATCTCCCAGAAAGCAGCCGTCCCCGGCGCGGGGCTCCATGCGGCTCGCCGGCTGGGGACCCCTGCCTACCGGCCTTGTGACTCCAGGAGCTGGGACCTGAGCCCGGGCTTAACCGGGACCAAACCGGGACCTAAGCCGGGACCTATCCACGACCGCAGGCCGCTGGGCGGGGCCTGACTGCTTTCGTGGCCACCGCTGGGAGTTGTAGTTTCTTTGAGTCGCAGCTCGCCACTCGTGCGTCCCACGCCGCTGTCACCATCAAAGGGCGTGCAGATATTCGCACATGCAAACTGAAGTGTGCAAAATGTACTCCCGTGTTGACACGTGTGAATACCTGCCCATTAACAAGTCCTGTGTTTAGATGAAAAGCCTAGATTCCTGTGTTCGTTTGTAAAAGACGCGTCCGTGTGCAAAATGTTTGGTTCCTAAAACGCGTACCCGTGTGCAAATGTGCCCAGCTGCCAAAACTGACCTCCTGTAGTTTACACTGCTCCCGTTGAGCAAAGTATCCAGTCCCTTAAAGAAGAGCCTTCCAGTGAAGCTGGTGATCAAAATGCCTAATTCTTCCATTTTCAAAATAAATCATAATTTTCAAATAGTTAAAATTCATTAACAAAAAGTACGTTTCTTGGTGGACAGTTTTAATCTGGTGTCTCACTAACCGTTTAGCAGATGGAAGCTGGAGTGCCATGAGCAGCCTGGCAGAAATGAGAAACCAGTCTTCCCCGGGGATTCCAAGACAACCAGCCAGTGAACCGCGTTGTGCTCTAGTAGGATTTTTCTTTCCTTTTATTTCTTCAGAAGACTTAATCTTACCAAAGTTAACTGCAGTCTCTTGGGGTATTCCCTACCTTAACCTGTACTGAACCTCAGTGTAAACATACATTCTGAGCTGAACATGAAAACGTCAGGATCATTGGAAACAGCACTACAAGCCATCCTCTGAGGTAAGGATGCTTGGATGACCCTAAACTGTACCTGCATATTGAACCACAGGTACTGTGTTTATTTAGGAGGCCTTGAATACTACCCATTGAAAATCTAAACTGCTGGGGAAGTCTTGGAATAAAATTCCAAGCCCTTTTAGTAAGGTGTGTTTACTACATCCTTTTGGCCGTTTGTCTAGTAAATCTCGGCTCTTGCAGTTTGCTTTTTGTTTGTTTGTTTGTCTTACTGTTTGTATGATGTGTATGTGAGCGCACCTGTTCATGTGTGAGTGACGGCATGCATGCGCAGGTCAGGGGATACCCTCTCAGTCCTTGCCTCCCATTTTGTTTGAGACAGGGTCACCTGTTCACCCCTGCAAATGTCAGGCCTGTGAGCTTCCACAGAGCCTCCTGCCTCCTCCTCTCACTTAGGTGCAAGAGTGCTGGCATTATGAATGACTGGCCACACGGCCCAGCTTTTACTTGAGTTCTGAGGACCCAAACTCAGGTCCTCACAGATGATGCAACAAACATATTACTCACTGAGCCATCTCCCTAGACCCTTTGCATGTTTTCTTGACTATTTTCTGCATTTTTAAATAGAAGTAATAGCTTGGGGGGTGTTGCTTTGGCTTGGTTTGGTTTTGGTTTTGGTATGTGGTTTTTGGTTTTGGTTTTTGGAGACAGGGTTTCTCTGTGTAACAGCCTTGGCTGTGTTGAAACTCACTTTGTAGACCATGCTGGACTCAAACTCACAGAGATCCACCTGCCTCAGTCTCCTGAGAACTGAGATTAAAGGCATGCGCCACCATGCCCAGATGTAATAGGCTTTTATTTTATTATTTTAACATATTTACTGTGAAATTCTGTATTCCTTCTTGTCAGTGTAATATGTCTGCACGTTTGTAATTTCTTCCCTGGCATATATTCTGCTGATCTGAGTATAGGCCACATAGAGCATATGTGAATATATACATGTATGTATACATAAGTTATACTAATCTTGCTATGTGCTTCTTAAGCAATCATTTGCTTATTAATTGTTGGTAGTCTTTTCCACTATTCTGATGGTTGACTTCAGTATTTATTGCAGAACCCCCCCTTTTTTTATTTTGGTTTTTTGAGACAGGGTTTCTCTGTGTAACAGCCCTGGCTTTGTAGACTAGGCTGTCCTCGAACTCACAGAGATCTTCCTGTCTCTGCCTCCCAAGTGCTGGGATTAAAGTCATGTGCCATCACGCCTAGCACAGAAACCATTTTTAAAAGTGTTTGAAGATGGAGTTTCTGTCCTACCCGGTCCTGCAGCTGTTTAGTCCCAAATAAACACACTGAGATTTACATTAATTATAAACTGTTTGGATGCTCTCTTAACTATTAACCCATTTCTATTAAACTATGTATTGCCACAAGGCTGAGGCTTACCCATAATGCTCTGGCATGTTACTCCTTTGTAGGTTATATGGCAGCATCTCCCTCTTCCCAGAATTCTCCTAGTCTGGTAGTCCCACCTATACTTCCTGCTTAGCTACTAGCCAGTCAGCATTTATTCTCAACCAATAAGAGAAACGTATACTCACAAATACAGAAGGACATCCCTAAGTTCTCCAGAACAGTGAGAAAAAGACAAAACAACAGGGGAAAAAAACCCTGCTAATCAAAACATATGAATGGGAAATTCACAGAGAAATAAATGAGATTTGGTTTGCTGTAACATGAAAAATAAAAGTCCCAGGGACAGATACTGGGGTTTGAGCTACAAACTGAAGATCAGAGAAGCAAAGTAGCCAAGCCAGGAGATCTTACCTTTACCCTGCTGAAATTGGCAATCCCGTCTCCATGAATACTCAGAGACAAAAGCTCTCAGCTCCTGTCTCCTCCTCCTTATATTCCTTTCTCCACCCAGCCAATATCACTCCTGTCTCCTCCTCCCTAGTGCTGGGATTAGAGGCATGATCTCTGTTACTCTTCACTCTTATGTAGGCCAGGATGATCTTGAACTCAGAGAGATCCATCTGCCTATCTCCTGAGTCCTGGGATTAAAGGTGTATGCCACCACTGCCTGGCTAGCTAGTATGGCTGCTGATATTAAAGGTACCTGAACTCTATAGCTAATGGCTGGCATTGCTTTCTGAATCCTCTGGCAAGCTTTAATAAATCATAAATAATATATCACTACAATTCCCCTTTTTTGTCTAATACAAAAATAAGAAGGCAACTAATGTAAGAAAAACTATATACAATAAGTACAATAAGTATATACAATATGTACAGGCAATAATTACACCAACAATGTCTAGTCCATTTGCATTTGACAAAATCAGAGAAAATACTCCATTATCTAAAATTTATGGCTAGTCCATTTGCATTTGATAAATTCAGAGAAAATACTCCATTGTCTTTTCTATCTTGATGAGTCCAAAGTCTTGTACCTAATTTACTTTTTATTCTAATTTGCATAATCATTAATCTTTTAATGTCTTTCAAACCTTTTACACTTTACATATCTTTAGTGAGTTTCTTTTCTGAGTCTAGACAGTCACTCAGTGTTCCTCTGCAATGTTGGGGCATCTATCTTCATGGATGTTTGACCACTTTTCTGTGAAGTAGGAGTTTTGAAAGACTGGCCTGTCTTGTCTTGACAAGGTTTGCAGTCACTCTTTTTGGTGTCCAATTTGGACATCATACTGTCAGCAGTTGAGGCAAGGACACTTGCTTGCCCAGTGTCTTACCTTTGTCACAAAGAAAGTAAACTCCATGTTGAGTTTTTTCTTTTTTTAATAATTTATTTAAATGGCTATGAGGGTATCAGATCCCCTGGAACTGGAGTTACAGACAGTTGTGAGCTGCCATGTGGGTTCTGGGAATTGAACTCAGGTCCTCTGGAAGAACAGTCAGTGCTCCTAACCTCTGAGCCATCTCTCCTGCACCCCCTCCATGTGGAGTTTTTTCAATGCCTATCATCTTCTCTGAAGTACATTGGTGCTGCCAAGAGCAGACATGTCTCATTGTCATAAAAAAGAAAAGCCTATGTTATTAAAACATCTTAAATGCCATATTCTGTAGATCTCTGAAGTGTCTGAAGATGACCTGTCTTTCTAAAATACATCTCTTTTTGACCTTGAAAACATACTTAGCCGGGGGGGCAGTGGAGCATGCCTTTAATCCCAGCACTCGGGAAGCAGAGGCAGGCAGATCTCTGTGAGTTCGAGACCATTCTGGTCTATAAGAGCTAGTTCCAGGACAGCCTCCAAAGTCACAGAGAAACCCTGTCTCAAAAAAAAAAAAAAAAAAAAAAGAAGAAAGAACGAAAGAAATTAAGAGAGAGAGAGAGAGAGAGAGAGAGAGAGAGAACATACCTAATATGACTACAAGTTTGATTGTAATAGGTGACTATATTTCCTTATTGTCTTATATAGTTCATAATAGTAACTTTCAAGGATTAGAAATTTTCATTACATTGTAAAATTAGTTGAATAGGTATAATACATTGAACAATATTAGAAATGTGTGTACAGTATGTTTTAACAAAATTAATCTCAAATTTGTATCAATATACAATATTTGTATTCAACATACAGAAGTCCAATCCGATGTAAAATATTTAAAACTAGTAGTTGCTTTTTAAAAGTAGATTCAAAATCCCAGTACTCAGGAGGCAGAGGCAGGCAGATCTCTGTGTGTTCAAGTTCAGCCTGGTCTACAACAGCTAGTTCCAGGACAGCCTCCAAAAGCCACAGAGGAATCCTGTCTGAGGGCAGGGTGAGAAGGAGCAGGAAGTAGATTCAATAATCTACCTTTTATCTTATCATATATATATCCTCCCTTTTTTTCTTTTCAGAGTAGATTCAATAATCTACCCTTTTATCCTATTACATCTGAATTCCTTTTTTGTTTTCAAAACAAAAACCTTGAATCTAATCCCTTTGTTCAACTTCCTTCCTGACTGTAACCAACAACAATCTGTAACCAATCCCCTAAGCAATGACATATTTCCATAACCCAATAAGTGGCCCAAACCACCTACCCCACCTTTTGGGAAAGTGAGCATTTTTTTTTTCTTAAAGTTACTTCCTGCTGTCTGGGGGCAACAGCATCTTTAGGGGATCCTGAAAAGAAAACTGTTGGGCTAATTGCCAAGCTGTATCATTTATTTTCCAGTCTCTGAGTAATGGGAAAGTGCAGGGTTTGTTTCAAGTCCTGGCTAAAGTATTTTGTAAAGCTGGTTCAT